TGGTACCAGTACGAGCCTTTTTTATCGAAGCTGGAGTCTAATTTGAAACATATTGTTTTCATGTGTTGAATAAGTATTATTTCTTATTCCTACCTTGGCTGCTTCTCTTTCACGTTCTTTTGCTTTTGTATAATCTTCTTTTCGTTGTCGAATATACTCAGAGATTTCTTTTCCATTTGCACCCATTATAAATACTTGTCCATTATTTTTCTTTATAAAATCTTCAGCAAGATTTTCAAGACGTGATTCACAATCACGTAATGTTGCTTCTAATTTTCTACGAGTTTTTTCTTCTGTTAATGCACTATAACCACGACGATGAAAACGTTGTGGATCACTAGCATTTTTCTATAATAAAATAATATATATATATATAAATAGAAATAAAATCAATATACTTCAAATTCTTGAAATTCTAGAAAAAGTTCATTCCATATTTCGATTTGTTCATACATTGTTTTATTAACTTCATATTGTGCTTCAAGTTCTTGTAAAAGTTCTTCATGCATAAAATAAATATCTTCTGTAAAATCATCTAAGAATAAAAAAACCAAAAAAATATTTATTTTCAAATAAGATTTTATGTATATTTACTAGTATATAAAATAGCATATTTTGAATTATTCGAAACATCATTAACAGAAAGTTTCGTAAGTATAACATGAATACGTTCTCGTGCTTTTAATATATCATTTGTTAATTTCTCCATTGCATGTTCCGTATATCGATCAACTTCAGCAATAAGCTTAAAATAATAAATTATTTGTTGCTTTTTTGTATTTATTATTTGAAAACTTACATCAGGTAATTTTGACATTCGACATTGTTTTATTTTTGTTATTGGTAAAACTTTTTCATTTGGTAATAATGATTGATGTTTTCGCATAAGTGTTGTTAATTGTTTATGTGATTGTTCAAAACAAGCTTCGGCTTTTTGTATTTTTTCGGTAATCTACATCATTAAAAGAAAGATTTAATTATTATTCATAAAGAAATGAATTACTTGAGTAAATTCTTTATCAACAAGTTCTAAAGCTTCTTTTGTTAATGAAAAGTGATCAATTTCAATAGGTCCAAGTTTTAATAATCTATCAATCATTGTATCATTTGTTGGACGTTTCCAACCATAAACTTCTTCATATTCATGTAATGTTCGCATTATTTCTGTTAAATGATTAATACGTTTTGACTAGAATGAAAAAAAATTTCAATATATATTTCATAGAGAAATAAAACTAAATCTACTTTCTCTTCTTGTAATTTGGTAATATGTTCGGATAAAAGAGTCATTTGTACAATTAATTGTTTTGACATAAAGTTTTCATTATCATTTTGTAATGAACGTTCATTTAAATCATTACATAATTGTCTTTCTTCACGACGAATATCTAATTCAGATTCAAGTAATTTTTCATGTTGTTCTTTTAATTTTTTGTGTTCGTCGACATATGTACGTAAAGCTTGAAGAACAGGTAATGTATTTCCATATTGTGGACAAGTTTTATCAGGATGTAATTCATGATAAAGTGATTCATAACGAGCACGAATTGGTGCAAGTTCAACTCGTTTACGTTCAAGTAGAGCATCATCTTCAGCCATCATTTCAGCAACCATTCTTTGTAAATCATCTTTTATTTGTTCGATAAGTGAAGTTGGATCATCGCCTGAATCAAGGCATATTTGAATAATTGTTTGAATATTTTGTGAATAAACTTCATTGACAACATCACCAGGTTGACGAATTGATGGTGGAGACATTAATTTTTGTTATTTAATAAAAGAATCTCAATAAAACCTGAAAAAAAATTGACGAACAAGGATGAAAATAAGATTTTTAATTTTGATTGATTGAATTAAACAATCACTCTCTGAAAGTTCAATGCCATTGGATGATCAAACAAAGAGCTTCATTTTTAATAAAATATTAAACGATTTAATATACTTTTGCTTTTTTTTTATTTACTTATTATTGATTTTATATTAAATATTAACATATATTTTTATGTAATCGCTTGAAAAATAAAATAAAACTTGTTCAGTAGATGACGCTTTTGAATTATAGTTTATACTTTGACATGAAATGAACATTGAATACGATGTGTCATTACGAACTTTTCTCAACACATTGCAATATGATATTAGCACCTTCTAATGCAACTAAATGCGTAATTGAAGCTAATAATAAATAAGAAGATTCTTGAGAAAGATATAACTCATCATTTGTTCAATACAACATCTGTTTATATAAAGTATATTTTCAAAACACCTGTATATTTATTAATTAATTAGGAAAAAAAAGACATAAATAACTTTGTTACTGTCATTTTATTCATAGAAATGATAATTTTGTTCCAAGTTGACGTTCAAATGTATCGTATATCATTCTTCTACATGAAAGAAAATCAATCATTATGATCAATGAGGAAAAAATGGATAAATCCAAAAAGGTAACAAGAATAAAATTGTGTATTTTGTATTCAGTTCATATGTATTACAGAGATAATAATGATGCACTCAAACTTTGTATTGTTCCTACTGATGATTTTGGTTCTGTAGATATCCTAATTAATATAAAATAATTGTAATACGCATGTTTTCTTTTTGAAAAAAATATTTTATTTACTGAATTCTTTCTTGATCATCTCGTTGTGAACAGTTGTGACAGCAGAATAGTTTATGAAAACGTTCACAAATGACTGCAATCATAAGAATGATAAAAATAACTACAGCAACAAGAACTAAGATTGGCCATTGTATAGTTTCAGCAGTGAAATGCCACGAAGGAAATAAACTAAAGAAACGACGTTTTTCATGTACCATAGTAATAGTTGTTGATTTGTATAATGAAAACAAATACTAACGATATATTACGAGTATTGCGAATATACGATTTTTTTTTCATTTCTATAACACTATCAGTTCGTTTGTAGACTATAAATTATCAGCTAATAAAAATAGAAAATGGCAGTTGCTATTATTGACAACATCTAGTAGTAATTATCAAACGACCTCATTGTCTGTTCAAGGACACGTATTTAAAAAAAGAATATCTGTCATCATATAGACTATGATAAAGCATGTTGTTTTGAGGTATTCTACTGATTCAATCAATTTCTTATCTTAACAAGTTGATATTGTACTTTGACTTGACTTATAGTCTCAATGATAAGTTCTTGTAACAATATTTCACTAATTGTTTACTCATTAGAATGTTGAGTTTTTAAGTAATTATTAATTATTTGAAAAAAAGAAATACTATTTTAATTTATTAGGTACTTCTGACTATTTTACAGTATAAATAAATATGCTATTCAACGAATCAAATAATAAACAATAATGACGTCATATAAATTGTTATAAATAAACGTAATACCTGGAAAGAAAAAAAACTTTTCTATAAGTCGGCTGATTCATCAACAAATAATATTGCGTTGTAATTGTGTACCTAACAATTTCATTACTAAATGACTCATTAATAGTAGAATATTATTGTTGTTGTTGTACAACTTAAAACTTAATTCATAGTCTATTTTAAGTAAATGATTTATCCGATGTACTCTTTGGCATTTTTCGTAGACATCTATATCTGTGTTGCATCGTTTTATGACAATTACGATACAAATCAATGAAGTGTAACGCATATAGCTATACAAAATATATAACAAAGGCGTATTAACGAATAAAAAAAACTTAGTCATTCTTCGTCTTTTACAAATCAGTATTGATAGTGTGACAAAAATAACTGATAGTGAACAATTTAATGGATATGATGCATCGTGAGTGGAACTTAACGAATAGTGATGTCAGTAATGCTCAGACAACTCATTTATCACATCCGCATTCATTGTCGCGAAAATTATCTGATCACAATACTAACAATAATAATAACAATACTCAAAATCATCATCATTCACAACAATCTCCTCCCGTGATTACAACAACTGATTATAGTGATCCACCATCTTTAGCTGTTTTACATGTTTCACAAGCTCTATTTCATCGTAAAAGTTTAGATGCTGGATATGATACAGATGGAGGAATAGAAACATCGGAATATATACCCAGACGTCATCATACGATGAGTCATAGTGTCGAGCATTTAGTATCACCAAGATTACCTTCAAAACAATATAAGCAATTACCAATTATTCCAACTCAACGACGTTCATTGCATGAAAATCATCTTACTGTTAATCAACTTTCTAATAGTGTACAAAATCATATCGATAGAGAAAATGAATCTGCTCGGGAAGATAAAACACATCGTCGTCATATCCGTCTTAGTCGACGTATTCAGCAATCATCTTCTGGAACTCAAATTCATGGAACACATGGTGTTCATTCATCTATAATACCACGTCATGATGGAGTCCTTGGCACTGTACCTACAGGACGACCATTACGACTAATTTTCATGCGTCATAGTGAGCGTGTTAATCAAGCTTTAGGATCTATGTGGTTCATAAGAGCTTTTCAATCAGGTACTTATAAAGTTTATGATCCACTTCTACCAAAAGCATTACCACGAAGAAATTCTGATCATGCATATGAATTTGATGTACCGCTAACAGGTAGTTATACATTATCCTTTCTTTTTGCATATTTACTATTTAAATACATAATATATATATTTTAGTTCATGGTTTAAAAAATGCTCGTCATACGGGAAGTGTCATGTTAAATCTTAATATAGTACCTGATGTATGTCTTTCATCAAGTGCTCTTCGTTGTATTCAAACATCTGAACGTGTTTTGACAGGTAAATTCTAATATAAATAGATTTATTCTATTTTTTTTATTTAGGTATGAACCGTTGTGATCGTGTTCCAATTCGTATTGAACCAGGTTTATTTGAATGTCCACATCTTAATCATAAAATAGTCGAGAGTCTTATGACAAAACCTGAATTAGTAGAAAATGGATATAATATTAAACTTGAATATAAACCATTAATACCAAATCTAACTACACCTGAATCATTAGATGAATATTTTGATCGAGCTACTACTGTTATGCGTGGTATTATTAATCGATATGCTCATCGTGGTGGTAATGTACTTATTGTAACACATGCACCTGGTTTATTAGCTTTAACAGATGCAATTAAAGGTATACGACCTAATCATGACACATTCTATCGTACGGTATCTGCTTATCCACCATTAGCTATTTATATAGCTGAATATGATGGAATAAAATGGAAACATTCTGAACAACCATTTTCTATTACTCCTGTTGGACAATAATATTTTATGTATTATATAATTAAACTTCATATATACATGTAGTTATTTTTATGCATTCAATACAGAAAAATAATGAAATTTATTTTTTTATCTTATTATTTGATGGTGTTGAAAGATTAAGTGATTCAGATATTTGATATTTATTATTCGTTGATATATCCATTTCTTTTCCATGAAGTTTACAATAACTAAAATAAGTAAACCATGTTAACATTGAAGTAAGACCATCGAGTGTTACTGATGAAAATAAAACTTTATGAATAGGTCGATCCTAAGATTAAAAAAAAATAATAAAAATTATGGTAAACAAATTTTTTTATTTACTTGTATCATTGAAAGATTTAATATTTGTTCAAGTTGAGTAACGTTTATATTTTTTCGTTTATCTGATTTAGTAAAAACAATAAGTAATGGTTTATTCAATAAACTTTCATCCGTAAGTAAATCAAAAAGAGCATCTTTTGCATCATTTAAACAAGTTAAATCAATACTATCAATAGTAAATAAAATAACATCAGAATCATTGAATAAATGAGGCCAAATATGTCGTTGATGTTTACAACCACCACAATCAAATATAAGTAAATTTAATTTTGTTTGAATATTTAAATAAATATTAACAGCTATAACACCATGTGTTGAAATATATTTTGATGTTTCGAATATTTTATTTGAAGTTTTTAAACATTGAACAAGAGATGTTTTACCAGAATTTTCAAGACCAAAAACTACAACACGTAAAATATCTTTTTCAGTTAATGCATGTGTACAACAACCACAGCCCATGCATAGTCATTGGAGAAATTAATTTTATTTAACCTTTTTAACGGCGGCAATAATGAAAAAAAGCGCTCTTGTATAAATTCGATTTCTTCATCTTTCATGAATCCATCACTTATTTCTGTTGATCATCACCCAATATCAATAAGTAGTAATGATAGTATACATGATAATGATCAGATAAAAAGAACAGTAACTTCTAGTAGTATATTAGATGATACGACAAAAGTAAATGTACGTCAATGTTCATCAACCCAAATGTTACTTGTATATGCACAGCAAGATTTAGAAACATCAACACATTCAGATAATATTCTTTATAATATTTTAAATGTACTTGAACTTCATTTTAATACATATGCTGATGATAAACAACTGATATATTTCGAAGGGATCTTTCAAATTTTATATGATTTTAAAGAACCAATTACTGAATTAGCATTGATTGAAACAATGCAATTACTACAAGTATTGATCGAGCATACCTGCAATGGTAATTTTTCTTTTTCTTTTAGGTTGATCTACTTGCTCCATGTACTTTTGAAAATTTTATTCTTATTCTATGTCATTTACCACCTATAAAACAAGATAATCATCGATTTTTTAATGTATTTAATGAACTTGATCATAATAAAGATTCTTATATAACTTACGAAGATATTCAATATGTATTACCTCATCTTACATCTCATTTTGATGAAGAAATTATTCGTGCAACAATTCATCTAATAGATACTGATCATGATAATGATCATTTATCTTATTTTGATTTTGTTACAAGTCTTATAGCATTACAGGAATGTAAACTAACAACAATGAATAGAAAAAAAAAATCAATGGTTTCATCATGAAGTTTATTATATATTTAAGCATAGAAATATATCGTCATGAAGTAGACTAAATACAAATAAATAAAGACTTAATCTATATATACACACACACACAAAATAAATATAACAATTTAAATCCTTCATTCTGTTTTATTTTCTTCTTCTTCATTATTTTTCTCAGGTGCATCTTCAGCTTTAGGCCATTGTCCATCAATAAGAGGTTGTATTGGATGTTGTTTTTCATCTAATTGAATATCTTTCATAACTTCAGTTGCTGTTACTTCATGATCAACATCTTCTTCTAGTTCTCGACTAAGTTCACCTAATACTTCTTCGAGATTATCAGTTGAAGAACCAATCCATACCATTTCACAACCTGGAATATCAAGCATTGCTGGTTCAGCTAAAAATTAACTATTATTAGCAAAAATAGAATTAAAAGAATAATTCAATATATACCTGGCAACCATTGATAATCACCAAATTTTTTTTGAATCTCTTCTGGAAATTCAGCTTTTTGAGATTGAGTAAGACCAGCAGCAGGTGGACTTTTCTTTTTAGGATTTTTGACAGCAATAGAAAATGAAGCTTCTTTAGTAATATTAAATGCATTTTGTACATCTCCAATTTCAGTTGGTGATTCAAGTACATAACCAATTACTGTACGATTTTCATCATTCTTTGCCATTATATATTTACCTTTACCAGCTATACGATCAGCTTTTACTGTTCGTGTACCAACTGTAGCTGTTTGATAAGATTGTGCTTCAAGATTTTCTTCAACTTTTTCAATATCATCATCAGCTTTTTCAATAAAACCCCAAAAACGATCTTTTCCAATAGCTGGTAATTTCTTTTTACCAATTTTAATTAGACGTGTTTTAGATGATTGATCACCTTGATTTTTTTCATCTTCTACTGGTATTAATAAAACATGAAATAATTGAACATCATCAATAGATGATGATTCATCAACACCCAATTTTGGTTTATCTATAAAAAAAGAAAGTAGTTCGTTCAAATAAATAAAGAAATAAACTTACATGTAAATACAATATCTCCTTTTTCAAGATATTCATTATCATGTTTCGCTTCATGATGTCCATTTGTTACTTCTTTTGATTTTGTATTAATAGACTTTTCTGGCGTTTTATCTACTTTAGCTTCCTTAGCTGGTTCAAAATTTTCAACTAAAATATCAAACTATTATATATAAAAGTATCTAATTAAAATAATTACTTGAATGATGGCGTTTCATACCACCGTTAGCATTAATTAATTGTTCATTTTCAGAAGGCATTCTATTCGTAATATAGTTTTGAACTTTTTGACCTAACGATTTTTCCAGTCCGAAACTTTTACGACTGTTCGACCGCGAAGTATCTTCCAATCATTATCCTAGTTCTTTTAAAATTAAATAAAAAAATCTTACAAAACTATAAAATATTGTTTTTTCATAAATAATATATCTGTATAATTCATTTTATCCACAGATGTCACTCATTACAATTTTTTCTCATTGTCATTTTCAAAAGCATACAAATAAAACAAATTATTATTTCAGTTTAACTTCTTGTTTTTTTTTTCTTAGATGTCTTTTATTTAAATAAAACCGGAAAACAAAACACTCTTAACAAATGAAAACGACTCATTCAACAAAATAAACTAAAACATTGCCAATATCTTGATCACCCATAACAAGTGTTCCATGTCGAGAATCAATTTGTAAAACTTGATTCTTATTTTGAAATTCTTCAAGACCTTGTAATGGTGTTGTTATATTTGGTAATGTTCGTGTATAAAATTCCCAATTTTGAAAATAAAATAATCGAATAATTTTATTTGCTTTTAATTGATGATCACCATGTCGTCTAAGACGTAATTCTAATTTTTCAATTGTATCACCTTTCATAACAGGTATCGAATATTCAAAATGAGATGAATATGGTTGACGATTAATAAAACGTATTGGAATTGTTTCTTCATGACGAAAATAAATTAATGGTTTACCAGGTAAAATATCTTCAAAATTAGTTAACATTAATTGATTATTTTCATTCTCATCAGCTGAACAAATATTGATTTCTTCTAAATTAAGTGTACGACGAAGATAATCTTGATTGATTCGTAAGATTTCAAATTCATCAAATGATAAATGTTGATCTAATGATTCAATATTACCACTTTTTTCAACTAATTCTTTCGAATAAATAACAAATGGCATTAATTTTTTCACATATTTTTTATCAATTTCTTTTCGATCTTTAAAATGACTTGATAATTGTTTATTATCAGGTAATGTTCTATTATTTGATGAATATAATTGTTTTAATTCATTAATAACAAATGTT